GAATTTGCTGCCATTCCTTCTTCCAAACCTGTTTATGAGATCCAGGTACAAGCTGCATGTTTTGGGCGGCAGCCAGGAAAGCAGCCCCTGCTCTGGCGAGGAGCAAGAACATGGAAGCCGCCCGCTGGGGAGGGGTCCGGGAGCGCTGCGGTCGCCTCGTGCCCTCTGGCCGGATGACTTCCCCGGATCCTGGCGCCTGAACTGATGGGGCAGCCACCCACAGCTCGGTGCAGGCTGTGGGAAGGCAGCCCCACCCCCTTGGCCTCTGCTGACCGGGGCTTGTGGGGCGGCCCTTGCCGAGGTTCCCGGCTCAGGCAAGCCTCTCCAGAGGGCCGGGGAGCAAGCCGTGGGAAAGGCCCAGTGCTGGCTCGGCCCTGGGGGGCCGCAGGGAAGGCAGCTGGGGGGGCTGTCCATGTTCTTTGGCCCCGATGGCCACCTCCTGAGCCCCAAGGACGGTCACAGCAGAGCCCGAGGTGTCCCCAGCACCAGTCCTGCCCTGGAAGGGAGCCAGAGGCGTGTGGATTCCCCTGCCGTGGATCGCAGCAGGACGCACCTCTGGCTGTCTGCCAGAGCAGCTTGGCTGCCCCCTCTGCTGCAGCCGTGGTGGGGAAGGGGCGGGACTCCCCACCCGGCTGCCCGGCGCCTGCCCTGGCGGCACGGGCGAGCAGCTGCTTTCCCTCTGGCTCCCCACTCTCCCCACGCTGGCCAGCAGCTTCACTGGAGGGCCCACAGTCATGTACGGTGAGAGGAGGAGGAGGAGGAGGCGGAGAAAACCTTCTCTCTCTCTTCCCCTCCATCACGTGCACCGCCGCTCGTAACTTGCTGTTCGGAAGCTGCAAAGCCTCCTGCGCCGTCGCCCTTCTTCCGGGGCTCTGCTCCCCCGTGCAGCTGGTGGCAGCCTTTTGATCCCCGCATGCGTCTGTGGAGAGCGGCGGTGGAGTTGGCCAGCTTGCGCTGGATGCCTCGCGTGGCGGCCAGCACCTTGGCGTCCCCCTCCTGGCTGGGCGGTGGCTTGGTCTCCCTCCCATCCCCAGAGGGCAGGCATCCTCGCGGGAGCTGTGCTCTTCGTGCTGGCAAGCTGGGCTCCTCCGCCTTTCGCCCAGGCAGGTGTCCTTGAACGCCCCAATTCCGTAGTGTAAGGTCCGGGCTGTGGGCGGCAGGGCACTCGGCAGAGGCACCAGAGCCCGGGCGACCAGTCCAGAAGTCATACGGCCAAAGCCCGGCCACCGGTCAAGCCCAAGTTGGTGTCCGGGGCCAGCCAAGGTCCAGCCCGGATCAAACGGAAGCAAAGTGTCCTCCAAGGGCCGTCAAAGCAAGCCAGAGGCCCAGAGCCAAGAAGCGCGCGAGGGCAAGGGGCCAGTTGGCACAGGGCGGGCTCCAGGCGCTGGTGCCAGTGCCACAGGCCGCAGAGTCCAGACACCACAGAGCTTCCGCACATGGCAGAGGAGTGTTGCTGAAGCAGCCCGTGGAGGGAAGAACCCCTTCCTAAATAGCAGGGAGCGGTCTTGCAGCTGCCGGTGCTGTCATTCTGGCGTTTGGCCAGCAGGAGGCGCCCTGAAGCTGCCCAGAGCCTGACACCTGGAGATTGGCGAGCTAGAAAGGGGACTGGGAGAGGCACGAGGAGGGGCGTGTGATGGGGGCACAGCAGGGGAGACCCTCTGAGAGTCCCGAGATCTCCTTCCTTGCTCTAGAAAGCTGCAGCCCACCCTTCTCCCTCTCTTCCTGCTCCCTTTCGCTTGCCTTCTTTCCTTACCCCATTGCTGGCTTTGTTATGACACCAAAGGGGGAGAGACTCACAGTGGCACCTCCTAAGCCAAAAGAAAGATCAGCTTGGCAATACGTTAGTGTGGCACAACTGAAATCAGGCATTGGAGCAGTGAAGGAGCCACGAAACCCCATCTATGGGAAGTGGTGGCAGCATCCATGGCCCCTCAGTGCCCACGGGGGGAACGGCCACTGCCATCGTCCGGGCCAGCTCAGTCTGCTGCCAGGGAAGACGGAGGCTTCTCGCGTGGGACTCGGGGGGGCACAGTCATTTCCGGAAGGCTTCCAGACGGGTTGCTGGCCAAACGGCACTGAAGTGACACCGCAGCGCACGGGGGCAGAGGCGGCGGCCACGGGGGAGATCTGCGAGGCCCTCCCTGCCACTCACCCCAGGCCGCCACAGTCCTCAGAGTGCCGGTGCTTCTCCGGCCCCCTCACTGGGGCGCTGCGTGGTGTCCACCTCGCAGGAGCCCTGGGTCCCCCTGCTTCCCTGGCTGCCGGTTCCAGAGTGCGAAGCAGCAGGCAGCTGCCAGGTGCTGCTCACCTGCTTTACTCGCCCCGAGCCCAAACACGGTTGCAGAAATGGTTGAGAAATGGAGGACGCTGCTCCAGGATGTCCCACAGAACCAGACACCAGGAGCGCTGGCCCCCGCAGGTTCCTTGGTGCAGGTCAGCTGGGGAGTGGGCAGACACGAGCCCCCCTCACAGCAGGGCTCCCGGGGGATCCATGCGTCCCCGGGAAGCCCACGGAGCAGCAGAGCCATCGCCTCGTTTCTTGCATGTGCCGCTGCCCTTGGATGGCGGAGCTTGCATGGCATGACGGCCACCGGAGCCACCTTCAGACGGGGCACATTGAAGCGTTCGGGCAAGATCTGACCCCCGAGCAGCAGCGCCCTAGAACAGCTGGTCACAGAACCGACCAGCAGGGAGGCGCTCCTGGGTTTGGATACATAAAAATAAAATACAGATACCCGGTTACAAGTTTTAAAAGCAGAAAATGCACATTGTTTCAGTTTAGAACATCTGGAATCAAAAGAGAGGTATCCTCAACTGAAACATTACAATCCGAGATCTAAAACCTTGTTTGGAAAGAACCAGCACAGTAAATAGTGGCGGCCCCCTTTTGCAGTTGCCGCGGAGCTTCCCACGACGTGCCCGGAGGCCTTGCCCGGTCAGTTGCCACCCGCCGAGTGCCGCACTGCCCGCTCTCCGGTGGCACTCGGGGTGGGGCCCGTGGGAGATGGTCGCGTGGCCGGCTTGGCTCCCCCACACTGCGTGCGAGATCAAGGCGCCGTCTCCTTTGAGGATGGGCTTTGCCTTTGGGTGGCTCTTGGTGCTGGTGCCGCCCGTGCAGCCTGGCGGGCGAGGTGCCCCGGAGACCGGGAGACTGCCGGAGCCGCCTCGTGCTGCCGCCCACAGCCCCCTTCCTCCCAGGACTGGGCGTGCCTTCCTCGCCTTCCCCGTTCTCCCACGGAGGAGTGGCGGAGCGCTTCTGCCTGGCTGCGCAGCAGGCTTTGCCCAGAACGCGGGGCGGCAGTTGGCCATGCCTCTCCTGTCTTCCAGACTCCCGACGGTGGCGAGGCTTGCAGACTGATCAGCGACGCCAGCAACTCGGGTAAGCAGCCAGGTGGCGTCTCTGGCCGCCTTGCCTGCCTCGGGCGCCCCTCGCCCGTGCTCTGCTTTCCCACTCTTTTCCAGACAGAGCAGGTGGGAAGCTCCTGAGGCCGGGGTGATGCCAGCAGACTTCTTGGGGTGCTGGGCAGGACGTGGGCACGCGGAGCTAGTTTCTGCCCGTTGTCAGTGTCTGAAGTGGTGGGTGGGACGCAGAGGGGCCGGCTGGAGCTTGGGCCAGGGGGCCTTCAGGTCCAGGCAGTGGCCAGTCCCCTGTGGCTCAAGCAGGCCTGGAAACACTTTCTGGAAAGGGCCTTCTGCCTTGGCCATGCAAACCAGCACAAAACCCAGAAGCTGCTCTCTAGACTAGTGGCTTTTTGAAGAGGAAGCGACTCGTCTCCTCTTTGCAGAGAAGCATCAGCTTCATTTCCATATAGCAGGAGGGGGGCTCTTTTCTGGAGCTGCACTTGGGATAACAGGGTTTCTTCCCATGGTATTCCAAAGCTCCAGGGAAGATGCACATGGTTGGTATTTCATGAGCAGAGCCAGCTGGAGCCGGGGGTCAGACTAGATGTCCTGCGAGACCCTTCCGACTCACACTGTTCTATGCACTATTGAACTCTCCTGAGACAGGACCTTCCTGCACTCCTTTGAGGGGAACAGGCATATCCACATAGAAGTGGGTCGTGCCCCCCCATCTCCCTTGCGCCACACAGGCCAAAAGGTGGCCCCTTTCCATGGGTGCTTTGCATGGGGTTGCCTGCCACTCATCCTGCATTGGCTGGAGTGCATTTAAATAAAAGGAATGCCTGCACTGGAGAGGTGGCAGGCGTGCCGTGGCCGAGACCTGGGGGAGCTGGGGCTGCCTGCATCCCTGGGCTGCCCCGGCCCTGACCCCGTTGCAGGCTGCAGGGGCAAGGCTGGGTGCTGCCATGGCAGGACCGCGAGTCCCAAGGGCTGCGCCCGATCCTCCAGGCGGTGCTGCTTGGCTGCGGAGATCGTGCGGAGGACTCTCGCAGCTCTTTGGCCCCCTGAAGAGACGTGGGCAGGGTGGCTGTCCCTTGGGGTCAGCGTGGCATCCTCATTCTCGCTCTCCCCTCCCCACCTGCAGCGAGCCAGGAGCGCGACGGACAGGCCAAGGAGCAGGCACCCTCAGTGGCTCCGAGCGCCTCCCCGCAGGAGGAGGCAGGGCTCTTTGGCAGCCAGCGCACACTCCGGCACGCCCAGTGCAGCTTGGAAGCGGCTGTCCCCACATAAGAGGCCTGCCCCGGAGGCTGTTGGCAAGCGACACCACACCAGGGGACAGCTCCGTGAACGGCGCGGAAGGGCCAGCCGGCTCCGGCACGGACACTGGACAGAGCCACTCCGGGGGGCTTGGCCGGCGCCTCCCGGGCTGCAAGCCTCCCTCCCCTCCGTGCAGTGCAAGGGGCAGGATCCGTGCAAGTGGGGCCGCGACCAGCGGCGGCCAAGGGAGGGCCGTGCCATGCCGTGCAGCGAGTGTGGCTACCGCCTGGGAGCGTGCCTGCCGCGACAGCCTTGGGCCTGTTGTGTGGAGGGGCCCCGGGGCGAGCCACTCCTGCCCCCGGGTCCGGCCCCCTTCCCCTGCCTCGGGACAGAGGCCGGGAAAGGGACCACGACACGAGGCGGGCCAGGGCTTGCTGTGCTTGCCACCCCCTGCCCCGCCGAGCGCTGGCCGTGCGCCAGTGCCGCACTGCCTGGGCGGCGGCGGCAGCAGCAGCAGCCTGCGGACGTGGCGGGGCGCCTGGGCGGTGCAGTGCTAGCGATGGTAGAGCAGTGTGGGAGCAAGCGTAGGAGCAGGCAGGTCACGTTAGGATGTGGTGGTGCAGGTAGAAGGTACAGGTAGAGGGAAGATGATGGGATGGGGTGCAGGGAGAGGGGTAGGGCAGGATAGGCTGGGGAGTTGGGGCGTGGGGCGCTCTGTGAGCCACAAGGGACGTCCATGCTCCAGCAAGCACCACGGCTGAGAGTCACCGCCCAGCCGCCATGTCTGTGCCACTGCCGTGGCCAAGCCCCGGGGCCCTGAACGTACCGGCCGCTCGGTGGGCTTGCTCTGCAGCGGCTCGCCTCGTGGGCTGGTGGCCTGCGCAGGAAGGCGGGCTGGGCCAGGCTGGGGAAGGGGGTCTGGTGTCCCCGCGAGGCCCGTACACTTGCTCGGCTGGCACGTCCTGCCGCGAGGACGGCCGTGGAATTTCTCATCATGCCAAAACTGGAGTGTCCTTTGGACAGAACTCGCATGTTCAGTTTTAGGAGGGTGCAGATGGATGGCCCACCACTCCATCTCTCTTTCTCGAACTGCACAGCGACTGCTTCCACATCTACAGTTAGAGCTTTTATGATTTTAATCTAATTTTAGCATTTACTTTTAATGAACAATTTGGGGAGTGATCAGGCAAGGTTTCACTGACTAACATGACTTCTCTCGGTGCTGGGCTGTGGCTTGTCTGTCCTCTCCTGGGATGTTCCGGGGGAGATCAAGACTGTAACTAGTGACATTTGTACAACCAAAGAAATCTATTTTGTGGGTCAAGGACAATAAAGTTTACATTTTAGAAGCACTGTCTCTCTGGTGATTCATCAAAGCTGCTGCCCTGCCTGTGACGAGCCCTTGAGCGGTGGAGGTGGGCGATTCCCCTCTGGGCAGCACTGGGAGGGGAGAGTGCAAGGGGGGCGTGCTCAGCACTGGGCACTGCCCACAGGCATCCCTACAGCCGGCTCGTGGGAGACTCTCGAGCCAACAGAGGAGGACTCGGATTCGCCTGTCCTGGGTGGGGCACACGCTCCTGAGCGAGCCCCTGAGGGCTTGCAGTGCTCTCGGAGCCTGCACTGTCCTGGAACTTGGTCGTCGCGACACAAACCTGCGTGCAGTGGCTCGTTTATTCTTCGTGGGCTCGGTGCCTTCCTGGAGTCGGCCAGCTCCAGATCATTCATGCTTTGCTACATGCTGTAATGTATTCCGGGGGGCAACCCCAAAGGGTGTCTGGGACCCTCATCGTGCACAAGGCAGCAGCTCGGCTCTCAGCCAGTGCAGCAGAGCGTGGCCAGGCTGAAGAGATGGGCACGGCTGCCAGGCCAGGTTCCCAGGCCCAGTTGGAGGCACTGGCTTCAGCCTTCACGGAGCTCGTGGCAGGGAAGGCCTGTCTCAGAAGCACCCTGTTCGGATCTTAAGCTCAGGCTCAGAAGACGCCTTTGCATGTGGGAAAAAGGCTTTCTCCTGCATGGCTCCCAAGTTCAAATAGTCCTTTTGGAGTTGTGATTGGTTGCCACCCTCTGCTTTCAGGAAGGGTGTCAAGCTACAGCTTTCAAACCTTTCAAGGTTTTTAATGTCGCTTTTGTTTTATCTGCTTTATTTTTAACATGACGTTGTTTGATCTCAGAAATGCAGGTAAAATTCCAGTCACCTCAAACAGCTCTTTGACGGGCCAACTCAGTGAGTGGGGCAGGGGAGGGGAATTGCACGGGAACGGTCTCTTCCACTAGAGAGGCTGCTTGCTAGAGGTATGGGGGGAAGTAAGCTGTAAAGCTGGGCCTCGCATACTTCTCACCCTTTACCATCCTGATTTGTCGAAGCATTCCTCTCCCCAGTAAACTCCCACAGGGAAAGAAACAGCTGGGGCTTGCTCAGCACCTTCCCTACCTGACCAGCAGGTGCCTGGCTGGATCCAGCTTGGTCACACTGGCGGCAGAGGGCGCAGGTGTGCACGCCTGTGTGCTGCTCCATGCGCTCTGATCCAGCCAGGCCACATGCCTCTGAAAGCCCCCAGCGCAGCCCTGGCCCCTCAGCCTGAACAGCTACTTTAAAAGGCTGCATAGGCACCACTTGCTGAATCCTGCAGGAGCCTTCAAGATGCTGGACAAGTGCTAGCTCTTCCTTAAACTTATTCTGCAGTGCTCGCCGTTTCATCATCCACCTCTGCCTTGCTCCTTTTCTCCGCGGGACTGTGGCACTCAGAATTGACAAAGTGGAGATGGCATTGCACTAAATGTAAGAGACACGTATATCTGCACAGAAATAAAAGAACTTCATATCCCACTAAAAGCATCTGGCTTAATTGATAGTGAGCAAAAGAAAAGCAAAACATAGTTATTGCCATCAATTTCTGACCACCCAGTCAAAAAGAGGACGAGGACGCAACCTTCCCAAAACAACCCCCAGCATTTCCAAGAAGAATAATGTAGCCATCAGGGGGATCCACCAAGAGATTCCTAACATGTGTTGCCAACAACTTCCTCCAGCAGAAGGTAGAGGAAGGAACGAGTGAATCGGCTGTCCTCAATCTAATACTAACCGGCAGGAGGGGCCTGGTGGACAAAATAGCAGCCTCAGGAACTCTGGGGGAAGTGAACATGCGATACTTGAATTCTCTGTTAGACGGGAGACAAAGGGTAACTGCAGCCTAGCAGCACCCTGGGCGTCAAGAAAGCCAACTTTAATGAACTCAGGACAATTATGAGAGAGGTGCCATGGCAACTCACAATTAAGGGAAAAGGAGTCCAAGAGGGGTGGGAAATCTTGAAAAAGAAGATTCTCCAAGCACAACTATGAACAATTCCAACAAGAAAAGAAGTGTAGAAGACAGCAGAGGAAGCCCGTGTGGCGCCACAAACAATTGAGAGAGCCTGAAAATGAAAAAGAGCACGTGCAGAAGCAGGGCCAGCCCCCAAGGCAAGAAACTACATAAAGAGCAAGGAACCGCACAGACAGTGTCAGGAAGGCCGGAGCAGGAAATGAACTGAGAACAGCAAAGGAGGCTAGGCACAAGAAAGCATCCGAAACAAAGGACATCTGAAAGACGAGGCATCCAGCCACTGGACCCGGAGTGCTTCTGAATGACGCCTCCTCAAACTGAAGGGAGCTTCTGGAGTCTTCTCAAACTGGAGGGGGTGCCACAGGGTTCAATCCCGGGCCCAGTGCTCTTCAACATCTTTATTAATGATTTAGATGAGGAAGTACAAGGAACAATAATCAAACTGGGTGGAATAGCAAACACCCCTAAAGACAGAATGAAGATTCAGGGTGATCTTGATAAATCTGAATGCTGGGCTGAAAGCACAGGGATTGGATTCAGTTAGGTTAAGTGAAAAGGAAAGAGACCTTGGAGTTGCTGTGGGCAACAGGCTAAAGATGAACCAAATAATGTGGTGCAGCTACAAAAAGGGCAAATGCTATTTTGGGGTGCGTTAACCTAAGTATTACTTCCAAATCATGAAAAGTAGCAGTTCCCCTATACTCCTCAGTTGCTAGACCTCATCTAGAATACTGTGTCTAGTTCTGGGCACCTAGATTTAAGAAAGATGTGGGAGAATTAAAAAGGATCCAGAGGAGGGCAGGAAAAATGTTCAGCCTTGAGAACACTGAGGAGGGACATGTTATCCCGATCGAAGTCCCTCAAAGGCTGTCAAGGAGGAAGGGCAAGATCTCTTCTCACTGGTATCAGAGTGCAGGACACAGAAACATCGATGTAAGAGATTCAAGCTAGATATCAGGAAAAGTTTTCTTGCTGTTCGAGCAACGTCAGTTGCCTAGGGAGGCTGTTGGCCCTCGCACGCTGGAGGCATTCGAGAGCCAGCTGGGCAGGCCCCCGAGAGCGAGGCTTGAACTTGGCATCCTGCATGGTGCGGGAAGGTGGAGCCAGTGGCCTTCTCGGCCTCTTCCAGTTCTGCTCTTCTATGATTCTGTGCCACAGATGGTGCCACAAAGGAGAGCCTTTCCTTCTCTAATCCGGCACATAAATGCTTAATCTTCCTTTGAGGAAAGAAACAGCACTTGTTCTTACAAGAACTGTTGATGCTTGTACTTTGGCCCTTTGGGTTGAAAGTTTCTCACCTCAAGCTGAAAACTTGAGTGGCTTCAACCAAGGCAAGCTACCGGGTCTCCTCTGGTAGCAGCGGGCGCGTCAGCTGGCCCAGCCCAACAGAAACGAGCTGAGCTCGCCCAGCACCCTTCCAGTCCCCAGCACAGCCTCTTCAGCAGGGCGCGTCCACCGCCTGCCCTCACCGTCTCCAGTCAAAGGGATCTTGGGCTTCCAGGAGCCATAAGGAACTGCGGCAGGCCCAGGGGGGCCTACAGGGGTGGGTGGGGGGCATCAAATGGGACACTGGTTTTGCTCCAGCGGAGGATGAAGCAGCCTCAGAAAACGGGAGGAGGGGCTGCTGCTTAGAGCCACGTGAGTGTGGAGGTGCCTTGCTGAAGGGCCTGCTAAGAGAGCAGCTCAAAAGGATGAGGGGCACATTCAAAAAGGAGGTTTTATTTGCATTCAAGAGTGCCTGCATTCTTGGTCGCAAGAGCCAGTGGCAGCAGGAGTGGCACTGAGAGGGGAGGGTCGTGCTAAGGGGACAAGGAGGACCACCTGCGCAGAGTCCGGCAGCTTGGCTTTCACTGGGCTGAGGGAAGCCCTTGTGACAGGGGGGCTCTTCTAAAGCGTCGCCTTCTGGAAAAGAGCAAAGGCTTCATTGGACTGCGGTCCCGCCTGCATGTTGCGGCCTCAACCCCCCTCTGGGCTCCAGCAGCTCTTCCAGCACTGGTGCCACTTGGCCCACTGCTCCAGGGGCCGGCACTCTCTCCGGGGTCCTGCTGCGGCTGCGAGAGTCATTCCAGGACACAAGCCCAGAGCTCAGGAGTTGGTTTAATGTGCACCAGCTGCTCCAGCTGCCTCTCAGCGTGCTGCCTACCGGCTGCCCTTCGACAGGACGACCTGGAGCGGGAGGAGAGCCTGCAGCATTTCTTCAGCTGGATGCTGACATTTGGTGATGACAAAGAGCTTGAATTTTTCTAGGCGCGCTGCTTGAAACTCACTCTCTGCATATTCAGGCCCATCAGTGGGCCTCAGGAGGGAGCGATACCTGCCAAAGGAAGCGACCAGGAAGCGCCTGGGCATGCTGGACCAGGCGCTGGGGGCAGCAGCCTCCTGCAGCAGTGCGTCTCTCCTGTTGTGAAGTGGGCAGTGGCAACCGTGTGCTCTCCCACGGAAGCAGCGACTCTGTCCCTGCCCCACATGGGCCACACGAGGACCCCTGCCTTGGACAGCGCCTGAGGGGCCCAGTGGGCAGGGAAAAGAGCCAGGGGGGGCCCAGCCACTGTGTGGGGGCATCCTGGTCATCGCTGCTCACGCCTGGGGCAGGAGGACCAGTGCGGGCTGGTGGCAAGGTGCCCTTGGATGCCCTTCCACAACTGTTCCAGCTCCAGAGAGGAGGAGACCAGAACTGCCCGTGGCAGAGACCTAGATGCCGAAGGCACAGCTGCTATTCCTAAGCCCGTTCCCAAGAAGCCATCGCATGGGAGCCTGACAGCCGCCGCACACTGCGCTGCCCCCACGGCCGTTCCTGCAGAGCTGCGGCCATGCCTGCCTCCTCCTCGGCCCCGCACTGCGGAAAGGGCCCGAGAGGGCAGTGCGCCCTCTGGGCTGGGGGAGTGCTCCTGCAAGGCCAGGAGAGAGGCCCACCTCTCGTGCTCAGTTATCTTCCTGCTGAGGACCGCCTCCGCCAGGCCTGGCTCCAGCCGATCCAGCTGCTTCTTCACCGTGTCAAACATGTCTACTTCCATCATGTCAAAGAC